GTAAATAAAGGCTAATAGAAATGAGGAAAGAGGGTACGAAATCTGAAATAAGAAATCGGCCGTGCTAATCTACCTTTATCAATGGGAATGTATAAAAATTTTTGAAATAATATAGGCACATGAAAAAGATAGTGGTAGTCTAGCAAAGGCACGTGTACATCGATGTGGGGGTATAAATACCTGATGGAAAAGCAGACATAATTCATTTCACGTCACAAAAATCACAAAAAAAATTTTTTTATTGAGGAAGTGATCAGTAGAGTAGTCTTACTTCTTTAGTTTATGCTCAGGTTTTCATCAGAATAAAAGATATACTTATTTATCTAGGCATGACAAATTTGTTCGGGATTTGAGGTTCTAAAAGCCTCATTTTTAGAAAAAATTGGAGCAGCTTCAGTCGAAATTACTGGAATTGGATTTGGGTATCATTGTGGAACCATCACCAAAAAGTGCTGTGCTCAATAATATTAGGTTTATTTTCAGCTCCTTTTTGCGTGTTTTGCGTACATATGGATTTAATCGTTTTTGCTTTTCTTCAGTGCAAAATTATTATATTGTGCTGGATATTATATTGTGGGGCGCTGAAACCAAAAATTCGGCCCATGAGGGGTTTCTGTAGCTGAAATTCTTGTGGCCTTCCTTTTGTAAACCTCTTTTGTACCGAGATTTAGATTTTCTTCCCATAAAATCTGTTACTTCAATCTTTTGATTAATTCGAACTTATTTCTGCTCTTTGAACACTGCTGGTCATTAGCTGGTTTCTAAACAAATAAAGCAGTGCTTCTTCGTTTCAGTTTGTTAGCTTGCTGATTGTTCTAACGTTTGTTTACTTGCTTCCCATCCTCTTACTAAAAATAGATTTGGAGATAAGAGGTCAGTCTAAGTATCTTGTGAAAGCAGATCTGTTTGGATGCAGTCTATGTTTCATTCCTTAGCTGTAAAAACAATACCGAACACGGCATGCGTGGGTAGAAATTTAAGTGCATCATATCATCATGTCCATTTGAGTCCTGTTTCAAGTTTTTTTAAAGCAATCTTCCTATGCTCGTGCACTGTAGTCGCCATCCACTTAGGGTGATAAAACTTGTTCGTATATGTATTTGTGAGATGCAAAGGCATGTGATGCAATTTTAGGAGAAAATTAAGTGGTCATACAGTTTAGCAGTCTTTATAACGCGCATATTTATCAAATATTGAGAAGAAAGATGTATGTATTGATTTAACATACATGCAGCGGTACTCTGCTTAACTGTAGTGTAGGATATAGCGACCCTAATTGTTACTTTATTAGATTAGTGAGTGCCTCGTTTGAGTGTGTGTGTGTGTGTGTACGTGTGCGCAAACGTCGCGTCCTATACACATGTTTATTAATACATAGTAAGTTAAAATGATAATGCATAAAAAGGAGGTGAGGCTCTGGGGAGCCGAAGCTCCCTAGAATAGGAGTATTGGTTATACAGAATAAGTAGATCGCAGTAGTAGATCGGTAGTGGCGATCCCGGCAATGGGGAGGAGTGCTTTTATACCCCAGGGGACAAAGATCGGAAGTTTGATGAGGGTAGGATAGTCAAAGTTTGAACCAGGGGCAGGGGTACTGCGTCATAGTAACGCAGTTGGTCTTTAATCTATTTTTAACAAAAATCATTAATCATTATTTGATATCTTACGCGATAAGGAATGAAGGCACTTGAGGCGAAGTGGTAGTGTTCAGCACAGAACTGTGACATCTTGAAGTCACTAAATCCTTGTCAAAGTGCTTTTGCTGTGAGAAGTGTTAAACTAATAATTCGTTCAGGAAACGAAGCAAGTGCCGGGATTACCGGCAGGTTATTCACCGGACGATATAATATAGCTCAGAAAAAATAAAAAAAAAATCAGTACAGACGCACACACACACACACACATACCCAGACAACCCTTCGTCAATATGCGTTTTCTGCATTGCATAGATGCAAAAAACACATAAAAATTGCCAGATGTGTAGTTGGAGAGCGGCGCTTTGAACTGCAGTTGATCATACGAATTACCCATAACTTGTATACAGCTCGCCTGTAGTTAATCTAATAATATTTTCTACTGTTTCCAGCAGTCTAGTAGTATCTGTGATTGCAGGAAAACGGGGCCACTGATACGTGAGGTGATGTCGGCCCCACGTGGCATTGCTCATATGATCAAAAATACTTTCGGGTCAGTTGATAATATACCGGGCAATGTTTCAAGTGATGCTGCCAATATTGGACATTCCACGTTCTATTCGGATGCCTCAAATAATGATAGGTTCGTTGCTAATTCTGTTTTAAGCATTACTTTATTAGGACTCTTCAGCAGCCTAGATGAGGGCTTTTTCCAAGTGAATTAGACAGGCTGGAATAGTGGAGGATTGAATTAACTGAGAGGCAGTCTACCGAAGTTTGTGATTTTTGCGCTGTTGAGAAATGAGAATTCTTTAAAAGTCTTTACTGTAGCCAAGAAATAATGGATTTGAATAAGCCCTACTGTTTTTTTTTTCCAATTTTTGTGTCCTCTGAACATCTATGACTTTTTTTTTTGTGCTCCCATCCCTCGCTTTTCAGTCGTTTTTCCACAGACAGTTGTTGCTCTTCATTGTTCGAAGTGCAATAAATAGCAACGC